TTTGACAAAAAAAAAAAAAAAAAAAAAAGTTTTGCACGTTTGGTGAGTAGTGCAGCTAAGCCCTGACAATCAGCCATGCCCTCAGAATCACGTGCAGAGCAACGCATAACTACTGAAGCACAGACTTGAACTTGAATACTGAGGATATATTCGGCCAGCTCGTGCTCTATACCATATTGACTGCATGCCTCGATGTTGAGGGAGGGTCTACACTTTAGTGCTGCGGGACCCTCCAGATAGCATGCATGGGCCGTCTGAGCCGTGTTAGGGGGATTCCCCCACCGACCCTAAAAAAAAAAAGGACCCTTGATATGGCGGGGGGTGATGCAGTRGGGGGGGTGGGCCTCCGGGGGGGCTTTTCTTTGCACTTTTGGGGTTCCTTGAACGAGGCCCACCACCCTATAGTCCGCGATGTGCGCGCGCCCCCCGGTGTCGCGTTCAATTTTTTCATGCCACGTGGCGCTCAGCGCGTTTGAACGTGATTGAATGCGGCCCCTGAGGGTGTGAACGCGCGCGTTTGAACGTGAACGCGCGTTCGGCGCGTTCAACCGGTTACACAGATGGATGCCATGTTTGATTGCCTATCTTTTTGCTGGGAACCCTTGTCTTTGCTTTTGTTTGTCGCCTTCGATGCACTCGTGTGTACAATAGGAATTTTGCGCAATCGATAATCCCGTCCTTGTCTTTGCTTGTCTTTTGATCAAGCTAGTTGTGATCATTGCATCTTGCATGCTCAGAACGGTACGGAGTGATTAGACGATTGGACGCCGGGCTTGGCGAACGCCGCGCGAGGACACATGTAAAACGCGATCTGAGTTGCGCACTTACATGTATCCCCGGGCGTCGACTCGTTAGGACCATCGATCGCAGATGCCCTGTCCAATTGGGAGTGGCCATCCTGGAATCCGCAACGGCGCAGTCGTCCCGCATGAGCACGCGTAAGTTCGACGCCATTCGCGTGGCCTGCACGTGCTCGCACGCGGCAATCGCGATCACAGCGGACCCGCCCTTAGGCAACTCATAATACCGCAATGACACAATGACGCGATCCTGGAATTCCGACTCATCATACGACCCAGATTACTTCACCCCTTGGATAAACGAAATCATGAGACAGAGATACCCTTACCATACTGAGAACCGACTGTGTCCTAGGGAATTCCACTGCGCCACCACTAGCGGCCCCCGGTGCTCCGGTTTCCCTTCTCCGGACCATACCTACTACTTCATCCACCCTGGATTTGTCGTTATCACCACCAGTTTCCCTCCCTTTTGCCTTCTTCTTCTGTATCATCAACTCAGCGTCGTCCCGTGGCCGGCCATAGCCCCCTACTGGCCCAGCACACCCTGCGACAACTGCCGACGACGCGGCGAGAAGAGAACCCCGGAGTTCCGAAGGCCTAACCCGAACGCGCGACGACCAGCGCCACGTGGCAACTCCCGACAGCCTGACTCATCGGAACCCCACCTACCCCGAGGAGACCTGCCTGCGAACCGCCGTCCCCGAAACCAACGGCTCGCTCGGTCTTGAGCGAGCGCATACCATCTGCCTTGTAACCCAAAGCGATCCCCCCTCTCCGCCAAATTGCACTCGTGCCCTCGAAGACCCTGTCACAGGAGATCTCAGTTCTGACCTGGGACTCCACTTCCGAAAATCCTTGGCACTCTCCTTTTCGCACTTTCAGGCCCACATCCCACTCCGATCAGGAAGTCGCGTTGGGCGTGAGGTTGGTATCGGAGCCTGACACGTGGCTGGGTCTTAGGATTAATAGCACGCTAATGAGGCGATCTGGCTAACCGAGAGCGGCCTCGCCCCCGGAACGTACATAGACGCGACCCTGTCATCACCCGAAGCAGATCGGCTAATCAACGAGCAGCCAATATGGCTGCTAATGTGCAAAACCCGAATCCGCAACAGAATGCTAATCAACCGAATCCTAATCAACCCACCCCACGAGCACGGGCTCCCATGACGCCACCTGATCACTATCTATTCGATCCAGCACATCATCTTGCAGGAGCATGGCTGGCCACGCTTAGAGCACAGCAGTATGATGACAACGAAGCGCAGATAAACATTCCTGCTCGATTAGGAGGGGACGCTCATCATTGGTTTAGTACCTATGTATGGGTTGATCTTCCGACCTTCGAACGGGATTTCCTGAATCGATTTGATTATGTCCACCCAGAGCAAGCACTCTACATGATCAAAGACYGAGTACAAAAACCTCTCGAGTCTGTCGCAGAGTATCGAAACCGGTTCTATCGAATGTTTGTGAAAACTGAGCGAGGCGAACAAGTCGGGAGAGATTTGTTCATTGATGGGCTTCGCAGTCGAATGATAAGGGCTAAGTTGCGAAAGCAATTTTCCCCCATCACTCACACGTTGCAACAAATCATGGCTTCTGCGGAAGAAATGTAACAGAAGTTCACGGCGAACTTCCTGGAAGGAGAAGATTATTCTAGAGAAGGAGATTCATCCGAACTCGCATGAGCGAGAGCCGAGCTGGTTGCGTTACAGAACAAGTTTGAAAATATGGGATTTGTGTCGGGCCCCGTCACGGTGTCACCTATCTGGAGTAGATAGGTCCAAAACAACCAAACCCAAGTGAGATTTCGAGTATTCCTGTTCCTGTGATACCAACACCCGTTAGGACGTTACCCCCGCCACCCGTTGAAAACCCGACAAGAACCAATGAGTCCACTGCTATCTTAAAGCTGACCAAAACATTAGATAAACTTATTTCAAATAAGCAAAAAGGAGCAGCGAGAGCACAATGGTCGGTTGGAAGCCATGATGAGGAACATGCAGCCCATTGCGGTGCGTGCCCCTCCGATTCAGCAAGGGTTAGCCCCGGCACCCGCTCGTGGAGGGTTCGCAAGCAATCTGAACGTCTGTTATGCATGTCATCAACCAGAGCATCTAGCCCGTGATTGCCCTCACAGGCCTCCACAACAACGTGTCGGGGTCGCGCCGATGGCCACGGCCCCCATCGCTAACGGACCAGGATGAGTCAGAGCTTTAATGGAAGAAGTAGAGGGTGGGGGAAGTGCCCTAGCCTCCACAGAAGAGGCCGCTGAGCTCATCCCGTTAGATCAATACGTATCACTTGGTTATCCCGGGCTTGGAATGATCGGAACGATCAGACCAGCGCCAGAACAGAAGGAAGTGGCGGAGTGGCGACCCTCTCCAGGAGAAATGGAGTCGGGAGGACCCACCTTCGTCACAAGGGAAATCGACGTGTTAAACATCATCCGAGCTTTGGACCATCGGATTCCGCTTCCGATCGTTCATCTGCTCTCAATCTCTGAGCAAGCTAATCAGTGAATGCTACAGCACAGCAAGGCGAACCGAAAACGATTCACCCTCGCCCGAATACCAAACGTAAAGCCTAAAAATCCCGTGGCCGAGGAAACCTCGGCGTGGAAATCCGCAGAATGCGACATTGAAATTTGGGGAATTCCTTATAACGCAATTATATAGATGCGGGAGTTGCTGTTTTGGCTATTTCACTAAGAGTGGTTGAGAGGGCAGGTAGGAAAAACGATCTGATCATGCTTGCCGAAAAAGATCACCTCGTTTCAACGGACGAAGAAAAGATTAAGACAGTGGGAAGAATGATGAATGTCGCCTTCCGATTAGGAAAGGTGCACACATTGGGAGATGTTGTGGTACTAGACGTAAATACGTACGACGTTCTTTTCAGACTTCCCGCTCTCGTAGCATTAAGAGCGAGCCTGGACTTCGAACGACGATCGATCATCCTCCGAAATACTGGAGGAAAACCTTATGATGTACCTATAAGATTAACCCTTCGTACTACCAGTAATGCGGTCCCATGGGTCTCACCGATGTTAGCAGGAACTCTCGGTATGATCTCCTGGAAAGAGTCCGCGGACGGCGAGTCATCAACGAATGATGCGGACAGCAGTGATGAGGACGATCCAAAAATCCCGAAGCTAGCACGACAACGTGTTTACTACCTGCCACCCAGAACGATAGCAAGAACGATGCATCTGACCAGTCGGAACATTCAAAGGACCAAGGCGATGATCTTGGGTGAACCCCTTGTACGGATTTCGAGGATGGCCGATTCCTTGGAACCCCCTCAAACCTTGTACGAAGGAATCACCCCTCTTCTCGCCCGGTACAGTGACAAAAAGCATTACTGCGATATTACGGATCTACCGAAGTCCCTGTTAACATCCGCCAAAGAAGACGGGTCCTACGCTTGGGGGAAGAATCCAGTTCTCTGGAACCCCCTGGGCATCTTGAGGCAGAATCAGACGAACTCGGAATAAAGATCGCAACTAAAACCGTGCCATGGCAAGATATCTGTGACGGGATCACCCCGGAAGGGCACGCGGCCATCCGGGAGGAAGATGCCCAAATGATGGCCACAGTGTTCTCCTGGCGATCGAACCATTCGTTCATCTCTGCGCCACCACCCGACGTGGTGAAACAGGCACGCACGAAACAAGTTGACGTACGAATCTGAGATCAGCTTTTTGAACTGCACGTTCCACAGTATGTGCCTGATGAGATTCATCGGGTGATCGCGGATATTCTGATGGAATACCAGAGAGCGATTAGCGTGACAGACACTGACATTGGCTTGTGGTTAGTTATTCAACACGAAATTCAGATGGAAAATCATTTCCCAATCCACTACAAGCCCTACCGATACTCCCTGATAGAACGCAAAAAGACTCTCGAACGAATTCGGGAGTTCGAAGCCAGCGGGTGGATTGAACCCGCCACCGGACCATGGTCATTTCCCGTAGTATTAGTGCCGAAGAAAACCGGATCAATTCGCATATGCAACGATCATCGCAAGTTGAATGAAATCATGATTAAAGATGTGTATCCCCTCCCTCGAATTGATGATTTGTTGGATGCGATTGGTAGCGCCAATTATTTTAGCAAGTTCGATATTCGGCATGGCTTCCATCACATTCTGGTGAGGGAGGAAGATCGGCCAAAGACGGCCTTCGTGTTGTTTGAAGGCACGTGGCAGTGGGTTCGGTGTCCGATTGGGATTTGCAACGCGCCTGCCACGTTTCAGCGAGCGATGAACATGATATTCAAGAACTTCGTCAACAAGATGCGGCTAACACAGGGGATGATCAACTTCTGCGTGATCGTGTACATGGACGATATCCTTGTCTACTCGGAGACCTATCATGGGCACGCGCAACATATTGAGTGGACATTGGGAGCGCTGAGAGATGCAAGGTTCAAAATAGCGCTAGAAAAGCGTGAATTTTTCCTTTCGGAAATTTCGTTCTTGGGCTACGTGGTGACACGTGGAGGACTGCGGCCGGACTCAAGAAAATTTGCGGCGGTAAGAGAAGCCCTAATTCCCACATCGCTGACGCAGGTTCGAGCCTTCTTGGGGTTGGCATCGTACTATCCCCGCTTCATCAAGGGTTTCGCCGCGATTGCACGACCACTAACGAACCTGCTACGGAAGGACCAGCCTCTTAGTTGGGACGCGGAGTGCCAACAGGCCTTCGCGACCGTCAAGGACGCTCTGGCGACGGCTCCTATTTTGATCCGACCGGACCCCTCTAAGCAGTTCATTCTCATCACGGACTTGCAACCAGAAGCTATCTCCACTATTCTAGCGCAGAAGGAGAACGAAGGTCGTGAACATGTCATCGAGTACGCGTCACACACGGTACTGGACGAGCGGAGAAATGACTCGGCGCCTCAAGGCGAATGCTATGCAGTAGTCTGGCGAATCGAGCACTTCCATCCGTATCTCTACGGACAGAAGTTTCGCCTCGTTACAGATCACGAACCTTTGCTGGCGTTGAAGAAGCTCACTAATTACACCGGCATGATTGGCCGTTGGGCGGTGCGACTACAAGAGTACGACTTTGATATCGTTCATCAAAAGACAGAGCGACACGTCAACGCGGACGGACTGACACGTCTGCATCGACCTGCTAAAGTACCAAAGGGCGAGGAAATTACACCGTGGAAGGAACCGGACTTGACAAACGAGCCTAAGTACGGACAAGTGGCAGTTCTCCCACGTGGCAAGAAGGAGAACGGTGGCAATGGGTGATGGAGGTAACCCCACTACCCCTTTTTCTCCCCGCTCCTCTTCGTCTTTCCTCTCCATGCCTGACAAATTTTGCTATTTTTGCGAAGCTATCTCCCGCGTGTACTCGGTCTCCATGCGTCCTAACGGGGAAGGGTATGCGGAATGGATAGAATGCTGATAGTGTGTCGCACGAGCCCATGGCTCGTGCATCCAATACAGAAACGACAGTAAACCGTGGTTGTGCCCCTTATGTCGGACTAACAAGATTCCGACCGAGGCTCGCTTTCTGGATGCCACTTCAGAAGGGTTGGAAAAGACCCGAAAGTTTAGAAGGGCCGAAGTACGGACTGATATCGCCTTGATTGCCACCTTAGTGGGTAACCCCCTCCAGGATTTCACCAAGGAAGATCGGAGGAGGGCTAACGAGAGGGCTCGGGATTATTGATGGATAAAAGGTAGGTTAGAAAAACAAAAAACAGACAACAGTGGGATTTGGATGGTTGTACCGCATCCGTTCATGAGGTATGACTGGGTTAAGACGACACATGAAGAAACTGCGGCTCATTTCGCCATACGGATCACGGAGTCGGCTATCGACAAAAATGAGTGGTACTGGTCCAATATCCTCGACGATGTGAAGTACATCGTCGCCAACTGTCAAGTGTGTGCCGCTGATAAAGCGTCGATTCAGCCGCCAATATCGATAGTGCCAACGGTAGTTGAACGGCCATTCCAAAGAGTCAGCATGGATACTACCGACATAGTGGTGCCCCCTGGTCCTAATAGTTGTGAGTATTCAGTCCTGTTGGTATTCGTCGACCATTTTTCGAAATGGATCGAGGCCTACCCTTGTCGCACGCGGCAAGCCGCTGAAATCGCACGATACGTCATCCGTTTCCTCGGGCTGCGCCAGGATACGGAAGAGATCCTGACCGATAACGGGGCTGAATTCAGGGGAGAGGTACAGAGGAATCTGGTCATACATGGCGTCGCCATACGGAACACTGCACCCCACATGTCACAGTCCAATGGGCTGTACAAAATGCGAACAGGGTGATAAAGACAGCGTTGTGACGAAATATCGCGGCACGGGATCCAAGGCCCTGGCCCAATATCGTCGACCTCATCTTGGCGGTTCATCGCGGTACACCTCACGAATCGACGGGGCTAAGTCCCTTCCAATTAAGGACCAATAGCGTCGCTTGCGTTTTGATACCGAGCCTCCCGGATGAATCTACACTGAACCGGCGACCCACCAGGGCCACAGCTCGGGACAAGGCCAAACGACACTTAGAATTAATGGAACGGTCCCTGCCCAGGCTAGCCCGAAAACGGCACAGAATGACCGGGTTGGCCCAAGGCCGACAGGTACGAAGCTACGAGGCCCGAAATGGGAACGCAGGCCCACGGCCCCGGTACAAATTAGGGGACATCGTGCAGGTGAGGACATATGCTCGCCAGGGTAAGCTAGCGCCACGATTCTTTGGGCGATTCCGCATGATAGAACTCGGACCAAATGGCGTGAATACCGTGCGGCTTGCGCCTGAGGTCTCCGGCAGCCGATCGGCTTGCCCGATCATCCGCCACGTGTCCTACCTTCGTCCCCTTCCTCCTTTCCCATCTTTGCACTCATCCGATTCCTCCTCCGCTGCGGAAGAGGGCGACGACTACCTATCTCCTGTCTCTCCGTCTCCTTCCTATTCTTTCTCTATTACTCCGTCACCATCGCCATGAGCTTTGCAACGGAGCAAGTGATCGGCGCGCGGCTACTTACTCCGCGAGGGCGAATCAGTGTTATACGGCAGGTGCAGCGGCCCCATCTCTGCTCTGATCTCCTCCGGTTCGCAGCCTTCTTCAGCACGACGGCGATCTACGAGGCGGCGGAGTTCCGATTCACGGAGGAGGCGGAGTTCCGATTCACGGAGGAGGCAACTACGCGCGTTCTGGTCGAGATCTCGGCCTTCCGACGGCTATCCCCCCCTGGGATTAGCCATATCGCCGTCGTCGTCATTTTTATAAGGGATATCACAGCGATCCCGCTGGCGATTCACTCCGACATCTATCGGACATTGTGCGCCTGGGCCGGGGAAGTGCGGGCAGCGTGGACAGATCTCCTTGCTCGATGAGGAGATACCGTCGTGCCGGTGCATGACATAGACTTCCAGCTCCGCTCGTCTCGAAGGTCGCTAGCAATCGTGCTTCCGGAGCTTCGTCCCTTTCCGCCGCCCCAATGAGTTATCGTCGCGTCTCCTATTTTGGCCTCCCCTCCAGCATCCCGACCCTTTGGCAGTCTGCGCGGGCCCCTACTCTCTCCTACTGTAGAACAGTGTGCCGCTATTGAGCGAAGAGAAGTGGGATGCGTGGTGGGAGGACTACATCGAGCTCGCTTTCTATCTATTGGAGATAGAGTTCCACTATTCAGAAGCGGCCCCGTTCGGAGAAGGGCCAGAGCACCCAGAGGACAACGTGGAGCTTCTGATCACCCAAGCCTGGAGAACGGCGGAGCAAGTTGATCTGCTGGGATTCGTATTCGAGAAGGTGGAGGAGGGCGATCTCACCTTGATCACGGACGAGTTGCTGGTGTTTCTGACTCAGCTGGTGGATGATCTGCCCTTAGACATCTTGTCACGCAGTGACGAGCAGCCTGGCACCCACATACTGTCTCGAACGCTCGAGCCGCACCTTGTATGGTCCACGTGTACGAAGATTGACGAGGACAACTGTCTCTATCCCTCCCCGACGCTTTACTTGGAGATCGTCGTTACCGATCTCACGTTTTCGGACCCGATCGCGAGGAAAAACGTGGCGCAGGACGAGGAGATAGGGGGGGCAGAGAAAGAGGAGGAAGAAGAGGAGCCATCAAGTAAAGAACAGGACGATCCGGACTGCGTCCCGAAAAGAGAAACGGGGATAGCTAGCGGATCGAGCCAGCCGCCGGAAAAGAATGAAGAAGAGGAAGAGCAGAGGAAACGAAAGCGCCAGGAGACTGTGGAGGGAAAGCGACCCACAACAAATGTTTCATCGATCGGGGATCCGTGGCGTGATCCAGAGCCACTAGAAGAAGAAGACGATGGAACCGCAGCAGAGGGATCGCGGAGAAGAAGAAGAAGAAGTGAATCGCCAGCTTCCTCCGGTTCCCCGTCCCGGTCCTCCATTCGTCTACATCAAGATCTCGGCGTTCGGGCTTCGTCCCCGACCGTTCTCTCGCCAACCCCGTGACAACCTCATGCTTACCCGTCTTCCCGATAGACCCCCGTTCCCCAATGGTTGGTGTCCTTTCCCCCATCACCTTTTCTACCATCTCTACGCTACCCGCCTTCTAGTCTCTGTTTATCCGCATGCCACCACCCGCTTTGTGGTTAATTCCTTTCCCCTTCATGTGCTCCTGTTTAGCGCAGACTGGCGGGAATATAACCACGTAGAAATATACTGTATTATATCAGGAACTATTCCCACCTGCGAAAACTATGAAGATTTTCACGTCGTCCTGCGACGGGCCCTTTCTACCATCTACCCCGATTACATCGCATCTTTTCGCCATCTTCATGAGGTCCCTCGCTTCCCCCGCATCCATCGCTCCTTCCACTACGCTATCCTTCTTGATTTCGCCTGTCCCACCATCAATCGATTCATGGCCCCTCTCCCCCTAAACCATCCGCCACCTCCACCCTCGATGATTCGACTACCATTCCCCGGGAATGCCTAGGGTCTACTCTCTTTTTTTTACACGGATGCATGGTTGGCTGCCACGTTGTGAGGAAACCCTGGGAGGGGCGCCCACTGTCCGCTGAAGCCAAGGGATACGGCGCCTGTCACTCGCCACGCCCGCTCCAGAGGTCCTCAGCGACTAGTGGGGTTTTGGGAGTCGCACTGGCTGTCACCCCCTTTCTTGAGGACAGGTCATGCGGTTGCTCCCCGAGGTCAGAATATACCTCGTCTCACGCTGACCTCCTTTGTTGTATGATGATTAATTCTAGTTCCAGTTTGCCTAGATCATTAAGGGTAGGACAACCTCAAGAGAAGCGACCGTTTCCGGTGGTCAGTCTGGGTTACAACATTCCCAACAAGGTTCACTCCACTATGGGTGACATATTTATTCGAGACCAAATACAGATTTGTTTCACCGAGATCGTTAAAGACAGAGTAGACAACATCAAGTCAAACGAAAGATTAGTTCCCTGTTGATAGCAAGTTTGATCGGGACTCAAATCTGGAAGGGATTCACTGAGCTGGGGGGGGGTACAGCGCGAACAATTGCAAGCTAAACAAACTCAGTTCAATGGCTTATCTGATCTTCTCCTCCCTGACCTTCTTCTCTGACTGTCACTCTCTTCTCTCTCTCTCCCTCACTCTCCGTGCGCACAGTCTTCCTCACTTCTCAGATTCTTCTCTTTTTCTCTCTCTACCCTTCTTCCTCCCGGTGTTCTCTCCTTCGCCGTTCTCTCTCTCTCTGATCTCTCTCCCCGTCTCCCACTGTTTTCTCCTGCTTCGTGTACCGTCTTTTCCCCAAGCTCAGTTCCGCGGTCCGTTACCTAACCTTCACAAGTTCAAAAAGCCCTCTTTGAAGGGATGTTAACAGGCACGAGCACAAGTTCACCATCGACATATCATCCACCAGTTCCTATCAGAAGTCCCCGGGGTGTCACTATCTGTTTTGATTTTCTTCAGAACAGCGCTGTGCACATGTGCATCTCTTGTTTGCGTCCGAAGTTCAGAGATCACAAATGTATGAGGGAGTTTGACCAGCGTATGAGCTCACTCGGCTCTCCCACTCAATGTTCAGAAATGCAAGAGAGCCCTTCGAGCGCGTTTTCCAAGAGGAAAAGGAAAAAAAAAGTTCTCAATTGGCACTGATGGAAGCATGTTTAAAAAGAAAGAAGAGAAAAGACTATTCGTAATTCACGATTGACCTTTCCAGTCCGGCGACAAAACAGATCTACATGAATCCTGAGATCAGACAGAGTTCTTAACTTAGACACTTGATCACCTCTGAGATAACTTCAGATCAGGAGCCCTGGCAACAGTTCCCTGTCAAACCACAGCGATGTCGCATTTTGAAGCGGACTTAGCTCGCCATTAACAGCCTTCGGGACACTCATTCTCCTGATCATCCTCTGACTAGAGGAGGGGAAAGAGCCCCTGGGTTGCGTTATTACCCCCTCATCAAGGCAGTATGGTCCTTACTTACACTCACCGTATTGCAAATCTCATCGACAACTGAATATAGTTGCTGTTTTCACTCACGTGTTTGTTGATTCCACTAGGGGTTTGACAGTTCCTCCACTAGGGGCTTGACAGTTCCGCTTGACTGCAGAAAGTGGTTGTCGTTTGCACAGCAATGATAGGAGATCTAATTTCCACCAAAGATAACGATGTTCCTCTTCTCTTGCCGTAATTTTTGTTCTCGCCGACAGCGGCCGCGGCCGTCGACGAGTCCCCTGTTCGCCCTGACGCGGCGTACACCATGCGCAATCCTCTTCCTCTGTAGCGCGCCCCCAAGTGGGCTCCTCTCTAACGAAAGCCAGCGGCTGTCTAGATGCAGCAACAGATCGCAGGGCGCGTCTGACACTCCTCGTCTCTAACCATAGTTGTCACCGTTGACCTTCCTTCACCCGCACTCGGAGGTTTCGTGGGCGGAGCACTCCTGGCCCGCTTCCCCAGACTCCTTCCGTGCTCATTACTCACGCCAATCATCGTTGTCCAGCCAATCACTTCCCAGTGCACATCATGCTCCGTCCGCTCTGTCCGTGAGGATAGTCATATCTGCGCCACACCAACCCTTGACCTCCCGCCGCGCATGCTCCCTTGGGCGACCATTCCCCTCTTCGCTCGCTGCAGTCCGAGCGCGTTCACCCGTCCCAGCTCGCACGGCATGTCGACCCTGCCTACATCGAATCGGGATGTGGGCTGGGAGCGCCTGGCGCGCCTTCTCCCCCACAAATGCTCTCAACGCTCATCCCTCATCCGCCCATTAACCGGTCTCTTCTCGCGAGCATCGTCTGTGGACGCCAGGCACACCTCCCCGTATCTCTTCCTCTCCGCCCCCGTAACAACCCGCGTCTCCGTGCAAGAGCGTCGGGCACAACTTGCACAACCCCCGGTGTAACTACCTCTGAGCACGTTCGCGAGGTACACCGTGCATGTAGCCGCCCTCTCTGTTCGAATGCCTCCCTGTCTTAGCCCAACCTTCCTTGCTATATGTTGTCGGCCTCCGTTGTTCAGTTGGGCCTCCCCGTCCTTGGCGGCTGCACCCCCCCCCCCGAGTGTGGACTGCACCTTCCCCTGCCTGCGGGAGCGGGGTACAGCTTGCGCGTGTGTCCCTCAAAAATAAACCCCCGTCTGAATGTTTTGAACTGACTATATTTCCCGCAGGGCCTGGCGGATTTCACTGCTCAGTCCCTAGGTCCAGTGCAGCTTTCTCATAGCTGGGTGGGGCCGACCTGATTTGGAAGCAGACCCTAAGAGCCCCGACGCTAGAGTTCCGTCGATACTGCCCCGTTAGTCTGCAGCCAAGGTAGCCGCTCCTACAGTCTTCGACCGGTGTTCTTTGTGCCAAATAAGGCCACTTTCGAGACGTGTGTAACATATCCACAGACCCGCCGGATCAGAGCGAACCACCGGTTCAGGTTCAGCTCCTAGTTGACGCTTGCCCTAGCGAGCTAACCATTCTGGACCAGTAGTGTCTATTCCGCAGTTGGCCGCGTCGAGCTGAAGTTATCAAAAACGATTTGAGCCGCAGCGGCCCCTGTGTAGTTCAGAACCTCGGCCAAGTGATGCCGGTGCTGCCCCAATGCCGAACCTGAGTAGTCGCCGGTCCCAACACGAACCGCTCGGACTAGACCGGGGCCGAGGCTGTATCAAATCTGATTTCGTGCCCATGCCAATACCGAAGCATCACGGACCGGAAATACGGATTCTGAAATAAATCACCGTGATGAAACCGATCCTGATACCGATCCTCAAATAAATTGTCGTGACAATTCCGAACCTGATATAAACTGCTGTAGTGGCCGCGGCCAGGTAATAAATCGCCGCAGTGTCCCAAACCTGAGAATAAGTCACGGTAATGGCGCCGAAGCTGAAACAAGGTATCACGGTAGCACCGAGCCCGAAATAAACTGATGCCGAACCCGAAACAACTGTCGTACTGGTTCCGGACCTGGAAATGAATCATTACAGTAGCCGCAGTCCTGAAAATAAGTCACCATAATAGCCTCAACCCTGAAACAAACTGGCGCCGACCCCATACCGAACCACGTGCACATTGGATACCGTGGGACGCGGCCACTCCATAACAATTCCGAACCTCTTCGAACCATGTATCCGTACCGATCCAATACCATACTGTCGTCCCAAGATAGCACCACCCCATGCTGTCCATGCGGCTGCCGCTCTCAGAACAACCCAACCGCGGTAAAGTTAGTAATCAAGCAAACCATGGAAAGCGACGCAGGGAATCTCGACCATCGGCAGTAGTGAAAAACTGTTGGAATCCAGAGAAAATGATCAATCTGGGGTCAGAGCTGATGACGGGTAATCGAGGCGAAATTAGGCCAATCTCCCAATAGTCATGGGTTCCCATGCCTCTCAACGTTTTTAATCATTCTTCCTTTTCCTTAATTTTATTGCCGGAAATAGTAAATTATCCGTAAATTCCCCAAAATTAACTTCCGAGAAAGTTTAAATAAATAGTCCAATTTCTTTTGTTCCTTTTCTCTTTTACAATTTTTAATATTTTTCTATGTTTATAATTTCATTGTCGGTAACATAAAATAACAAGGGTATTCCCCCTAGAATTAAATGTCGTGAAAAATAAAGAAATTAAGGGATATTATGTTTTTCTCTTCTCCCTTACTAGTCTTAATCCCTTTTCCCCATCTTTAATTATGGTACTAAAATAGAAAAAAAATCGAGGCCTCATTTCAGCCCCGGTCATATGCTGCAAAAACGTTGCGGCGGTGTTAGTTCCGACGATGCCTCCCCACGGCAGGCCAATCTTGGTCTAACTCTCTGAACGGACGGAAATGACGGTCCCTAGATACGCCGAGTGCGGCCACCCTTCTCGGCATCTTTGAGGGTTACTCGTAAGGTTCAGTGCGCCCAAAATCAGGGGCGCCCTGAGTTCCCCTAATTTCTGCTGCCTGGTCATTCCAGAGTATCATCAAAACATGGACTTGTCCCTCAGCCTATGCCCCAAAGCCGCAGATTTAAGGCGGCCCACTGCTTGTGGCCGCCTGACA